CAGTCCTTCCGTCAGTCAGTCCGTCCGTCAGTCAGTCCGTCCATCAGTGTGCCCGTCCGTCTGTCAGTCACTCCCAGTGTGTGTGCACGAATTCTTTTTCATCTTTAAATAGAATTATAAACTTTCTTTTATTTCGTTTCTCATTCACTTTACCCTATGGTAACTATATGATGTAGTCAGCTACCCAACAGTTCTTACTGTTGTTCGTCTTTTTGCATCTGAAGATAACATGCTGGAAAAATGTGCGGCACATTTCCTAACGAACCGAACGTGATTGCGTGATATTAATGACTTCCATACAAATATAATTTTGATCCTACAAGATAATATAATAATTTTTAACAAAGTCTGTTTATTCATTTTACAAAATCACAAAGGATATTATGAACATTTCAAACACAAAGACGAAAAACATTATACGCACTTCTGAAAAGTATGACATGTGGCCAGTTGGTCATTTTAATATTTTTAAAAATAATATAACATGTTAACAGAGGTAGATCTAAATGAAAAAAATCAAAAGTTCAGAAAATATACTGCTTTGCTCGAGCGCAAGGGAGAAGGGTAATCAACGCTGGCACGCCAGGATTGCTGCGCTCATCGGTATATTGTAGAGTTACAGGTTTATCTTCCTACAATCTTTGATAATTCTGTTTTGTACGATTGATCTCGTAAAGTAAAAGGATGAAATTACGTACATATTTCTTAATAATTTATTACAGTTTTCATTTTTCGATCTAATTACAGGCCAATAACACACACACCACACCACTCTCTCACACAAACACACATTGAGATTCTCGTAGAGAACAAAATATTCTATATTATTTAGTTCAATTATAATTGAATAATTCATATTAATAAATAGTTAATAATGACGGTTCGTACACAGAACAATCGGTTGAGAAACTCGGGCCAAGTGCAGGTGTTGCGGATCAAGTGCGAGTGCGAGGCGTTAGTCTGGCGCGGAGCTCTCGAATGCAAACCAAGCCAGCGGAAATCGTTGTACCACGTCCAAAAAAACAAAGTGTTTGCAGGACCGGCGATTCTTGAGCGCGGGAGGCACTGTCACGTGAACTAGCGGTATACAAGTTAGCGGCGAAAATCGCTTCACGGGATTCGATAACGAATGAAATCTTCGTGCTGATGCTCATTTGTCCACCCCTGCGGTTGTGCTCGCAAGTCTCGACTATGCGAGTTGTCTCTCTCGCCGTAGGACTACAAGCCAGAAGCGCGTCGCGAAATAAGATGAAAATTAATTGTTCAAGCAATCAATGGCAAAATACTATCTTTCTGACTTCAGGGAGTGAAGGGAGGAATGACTTAGATACATGGGACAGACACGCATTCTAAAGCAAGCGTTTATGTGTAGAACGCGAGGTAGAAGACACAGACATCGTTATAGAAATGAAATTGGTAGAAGCCAGAACAGGTCATGAACCCATCCTTGGAGTAGAGGAGAAGAAGATGATCATAAGGGTGTCAACTCTGTTATTTGTTAATACGAGCATAACTGCGTCATAGCAGGCCAGTACCCATAAAGCTGAATAAGGATACTGTTATTTTTTTATTGCTGAATTATTCGCAAGAACTAAAAATTAATCTTAGACGTAGCACCGCTTTACACTTTATACAATACATTCTAATAAAATGTATATTCACTTACAACATGATACACAGTTCAAACCTTATCGCAAAATTAATTTAATACTTATAAAATACATATTTTCATTTGCACAGCTATTTCAGACATAATATTGAGACTTTATTCATGGTTTGCTGCCAAAATCTCGCTCTAACATTTTTGCACATTACAGTACTTTCTCTCTCTATGTTTTCAAGAAAGTAAAATCAGTAAATTTTACAAACGAGCCTAATCATTAACAATTACATACTGATTTCTTTGTCTTATTTAAACATCCCCATATTGCACTTTTCCTTCATATGTAACAGTTTTTAACCGTATTTTAGATGTTAAAAAATACTAAATAAATGATTCAATATAAGGTTTCTTAAAGAGAAGTAATGCCGTGCTTTCCAACATGCAAAGTACAATACTTTCCTCAGAACTGATAGAACTTTTCCATTACACAGCAGTCCTATTCTTCTCAATATATCTGTATGATGTCGTTAAGCCAATTCCCAATGCTATTAAGGCCAAACAACACAAACATTTAACTTTCAATCAAATTTACCTCTTTGAAGTATTTAAGGGAGTTGAAAATTGATCAGGGTGACCTTGTGGGGTATGTCAATGCCTATTGGCCTCCACCAATTAAATGCCAGAGATGTCCCCTGTAATGTACTCGAGCAGAGTATGGTTAGCAAGTCCAGTCTCTCTCCTCATCATGGCGGTCCCTGGGTGCTCTCTTAAGTAAAACTCAAATAATAGCTAATGAGAGAAGGGAGAGGGCGAGTCTCCGGCCCCTTAGAACAGGAACACTGCGCTAAGGGAAGAAAAACCCTTACAGAAAGCCAAGGGTGGAAGGAGCTCTTCAGACTAGAGAAGCCAGTTCTTCAAAAGGAGAAAACCCTCAAGAAATCCTGTAGGCTGGAGGCAGCAAGGTTTCCATCAGAATTAAAATAAAAATGGGATTTCTATCAATTATTGGAGTGTATGCACCAGAAAAAGAAAAATTAGCAAATATCACAAAGAACTACCGAAAGTTTTTGACAAAACAGATTTGAATGATTATTTAGTTTTAAGCTGCTACTTCAATGCCAGAATTGGATGCAAACCAATAAAGAATGTACCTAATCGAGACTGATGGCAAACAGACAGAAAGTGATAACAGAGGAGACATTGGATCTTTTGCAACCTTCAACAATTTAAGAATAACGAATGGTGTCTTCCAAAAGAAAGGCATTCACAAATACATTTAGGCTGATAGAGGCCTGAGAAATATTGTATCACAAGTAATACAAAGGAGGAAGAATGGAAAGAAAATTTCCAAAATGTATGGTACAATAAAAATGCCCATGAAGAAAAACCATCGCACAAGAATACTGAAGCAAACTTATTAACAATGAGCTAGAGGTAGAAATTGCAACAATGAATGCAGAAAATCTTACAGACCAGATGAAACAAATTTAGTTGTTTAAGTATGATAGTACCCTTGCTAACTTTCAACTCTTGCACCTTTTAAATATGTGCAGGTCAAAACATCTACCATTAGAGTGCAAACAAGGATCTTTAACAAAGGAGACAGAAACAACTGCTGTAACCATAGAGGCATTCACTTTTTAAACATCAGCTACAAAATATTTGCAAAGATAACCAAGAGAATCTAAGCAATTGTTGCATTGATCTTCTAGAAGAACAGAAAAGTTTCAGGAAAGAAGTATTCTTCTTCAAAGAAATTATTAAGAAAAGTAGAGAAATGAAACTAGAAACACACCTATCCTAAGTATATAAGCAAAAGGCCCATGACAGTAATAAGGTATACACTCTGGTCAAGCATGGAAAGGAACGAATCCAGAAACGAATAAAGGTAATACAAGCAGTAGTGCTGGAGCGATCTGGGGCCAAAGGATCACGGCCCCACCTCAAGCATGGTTGCATTTGTGTTCTTCCTTTCAACCCTCATCACCACCTTATCATGTTATCTAGTTCACAGTTACCCATAATGTTATTACCAATAGTGGTCGCAAGCGACCTACATGTTGATGCGACCTTAAATAAAAACAAAAAACACCACACACACGCATATATGTTTAAACTTTTCTATAAGTGAATCTTCCTAAAACAAAAAGAGAAGAGAGTATTTCAAAGTAAATCAAGGAGTTAAGACAACGGTGACTACTATCACCTACACTGTTTAATATATTTCTTTGCACTTCTCTCAGAATGGAAGAACAAGTTAGAAAATGAAGGAATATCAGTAGGAAATTACACTACAATCAATACCATTTTGTTTGCAGAAGGTATTCACTAATTGTGAAGATGACCTTTACAAGTTAACATTAGAATTACTAGAGTTCTCACAGGGTCAGAGTGTTAAGAGGAGGAAAGGAGACCAACAGAACAGACAAAAAAACTGACCTCAGGGATGGAGGTTAGTGGGGGGAAAAGTTAGGGGAATACAAATTGGGTAAGAAGAGTTAAGTGTTCATGGATTTTTAGCAAATAACATTCTGATTATGGAGATTATTGTACGTATGAAAGATTTCTAACTTGTAGGTGTTAGTATCTATTTTCTATTTACCGAATACAGATATGAAACGTTTTTGTCATATGTATGTTTCGTGCAAGGTGTTCCATAAAGTGTTATAACGTAATGTTTCTTCATGCCTAGTCATATTCTTTGATTCATTAAGTTTCCAATCAGTTTGCCCTACATAAATAGAATTGCAGATATTACAAGCGTGGGCTTAGACCCAATATAATGATACAGATGGAATTGGTTTTTTGTAAATAGATTTGTTAGGAAGAAGTGCAGGCAGTGTGACACTAAGAGGCTGTTTCTACATATGGAATAATAGAAAATGTGGATACGAAGTGTTTTGGATAGATACCAGGGTGGTGTATTTGCAGACGTCTGTTGGTTTTTTGGTTGTTAATTAAGTGTGTCTATGAGATTATTGTGGTAACAGTGTATTATGTCTGTGTGTTTAGATCTTGTTTTGTTTTCAAGAGACCAGGGTATGGAACATAAATTATGTTCAATGGAAGTCTGAGTGTTTGTATGAAGGGGATGTTCTGAAGTGCTGTGTTTAATTATGTTTGTTTGGGAGGAATATAAGACTATATATACATAAAGCTCTTGTACCCCAGTGCAGTGGTATCCAGCAAGTGCAATAATCTATGTTTGTATTATATTTCAGTTGTGAATTTAATGTTAGAATGTAAGGAGTATATGTTCTATGTGAAAATATCTAGGTGTCGGGTAATATTTACATTGATGTAGCAATGTAAGAGTTTTCTTTAAGTTTCTTCTTAAAGTAATAACTTCTGGGAGAGAAAAAACCAAAGCTAATAGACTGCACAAATAATTATAAGCTCTATTGAGACAGAAAACACTAACTTTTTTTATTGACTTTTATCAATACATCTACATTTTTTTTCTTCCAACTGACAATTATAAAACTTTCACATTTTTTTCTATGACAAACTAAAAGAGGTAATCAAAATGATGGAGAATGTCTCCAAAAGGTAGTAATATATAACAAAGATCATACAACATATATGCTGAAACAGAAAATGTATGATAAAACAATGAATTAGATATGCAACTAAAAAAGTCTTAAGAAATATTTATACATGAAGCAGCACAACAAATATTTTCTTATCTTCACTTATGATTAACAAATCAACAATCAGAGCCTAACTGCAGTTCTGATAATTCACAAAGAATGGCAAATCTTTTACTTTAACACACCATCCAGTAGCTCCCTTAAAAATTGAAAGTACTGTACTAAAACCTCCAAGATGAGTCACGTACACACTCATCAACACAGAATAATTATACTATTCGCTATCATTTCTCACCTTCATTGTTCTGCTGCCTCCAAACTGTACTAGGATTGATTTTTCTTTATTTTCAAAATGGGTCTAATGGCAAATATTCAAAAATGCATTTCAAAACACTCTTAAGGCATTCATCAAGTCACTGGTAAATGCTAAAGAACACAACCACCATAACGATCATACTCTCCACCCCCTCTCCTTTCAAAAACTTTCAATCAATCCTAAATACGTTTCACCAGATTACAATTTGTTATTCAAGGAATATATAATCAAATTTATACTTCAACCCACTTTTCAGTCAATATTGGATAGTACGAATTTTGTTTAATTTTCTTTTGTTGAAAGGAGTTATTTTATAGTGAAGTCACCAGTTCCAACAATGAACCCAAAGGAAACGGTAAAATTATTCAACTGAAAATATAATTATTGTCCCTGAAATTAATGAATACAATGATTGTAGGTGACTTTCACCTCTTCCGTACATACTGTAATGCTCTAGGGGATCGTGATTGAACGGAATGAAGTCCTACATACCACAAAACTTTAATATGTGCTTGAAAGAAGGTAACCCTGTGATTCTAACCAACAGCACATTGTAATCTAAGAACACAGAGAAACAATACAAAAGGCTGCAGATGCAGTTAAACAAAACCATGACAATTCACAATGCGCTCAGGCCGATACTGAAGGATCTGCAGGAGTGGATGGTGCAAGGTCTTTAGGCGGTTCAGTCTGCATTTCATTTGCGTTGGTGCCAGCCCCACCAACTGCGGTCTGAGATGAAGCAGAACTGCTACTTGGGCTGGGAGGAGATTCCTTATTTGACTGAACTTGAATTGGATTTGAAGATGAAAATTGTATCCGTAACTTCTCATAACGGATGCGTTCCTACAGACAAAGAAAATAATTATTTTCAATCTATCGAATACATAAAATGTATAACCAAAATGATTAAGTTAAAGCTCATTTTTACTATTGTACAAATCATGGTGGTAATAAACAAAGAAATGGGATTTAGCATGATACTCTTAATTGATTTCTCTCTCCTCCTTTCTGTACATTACCTAAGAAATCATATACATAGGTACATAATTCAAATAAAGGAGATAATCATCTTTCAGAGGAGCATTTAAAGCATATAACCCAGTAACTGTACTTTAATCTACTACTCTTCTCATATGTATTACATGGAAACGCAATGAAACTAATGTCCTAAAAAAATCTTTGAATAAAATATACTAATATTTTATATATCGAATACAATTTTTGAACTAATATTGCTACTTTCCATAATATATAATAATTTAAGAGAAGACAGATAAAAAAATCTGAATTTTTAACTTTACAAATACATACAGAAAAATTGTAAAATATACTATTTTTACTTTTTATTCTTTCCACCCTTCATCTGCATATGTCAAATTGGCAGTCCTTTTTGTTACAAGAGTCTCATTTATATTAAATCTTTTGAACAAATTCATCTCGAAAGGTCTAGTTTCACTAAATGCTGGAGAAAAGTTCATTCTTTAATGGTCCTTTCACTGTATCATCTGTGACTAGTCATGTGACAAAAATTTTTTTTTTCTTGTTACAACGATGTGCCTGGTTTCGTAGAACTTATCATTTCATAGAGTGATTTCTGAAAATGACATTTATGAACACATTTGTACCTTTATCACAAACAAGTGATCATTTCCGGTTTTTCGGAGGAGGTCACTTAAGTAATAATGAAGCATAGTAAATAAGTAACAGCAAAATAAATGCACTAAGTTTCATACTTCAGGATTTCTACATAAAAGTACTGGGAAAATGTAAAATTTTGACTTTTACTTCATATTTGCTGTAAATTACAAAACTATTCAAAACTTGTAAATATGCTTGTAATTACTTAAAACATTGACACCAAGCTGCTTCTAAAATTTTACAGAACTAAGTTGCATAGTTTCTAAGATAATAGTTCAAATGTAGATTGAAATTAACCTGGGAGAGATAAGGCTTTAAAACATGAAAACATTTTCCCCTTAAAACATGATAAAGTTTCAAAAAACAATTCCCTAAATTGCATCTACTTCAATCTACAACTGTGCTCCAATTTTCAAATTCCCATCTGTTAAGATTAACAATTGTAACGGTACAAGCTCCTGCGTTGGAAAATGCCCATGGAGAAAAGCAGACGCCCGCGACGCAGCTGCGAGGAAGGGGGGGGGGGGCATAGGCATTCTCGCCGGTTCGTCTATTGAGGCGAGGGTTCTATAAACGTTTATGGCAGGACACCCCCGCGCCAAATGTCAAGTGGGTGCCGTTTATTCAAGCGACCGCTCGTAAAATGAACCCCAAAGCTGAGTGCGCCTCCTCGGGGGAAGAATTTACAACCAAACGGTCAGCGGCGCACGTGCGAAGAAAACAGGCCGATAGTTTTTTACAACAGCAACGGACATTCTGGCCGTTTAAGAAAGAGTTCCCGTGTGATTGGTCAGACACACGCCTCCACCCTGCTCCGGGAAATTCAACACCGGGTATAGGGAGGATACACGTTCTTTGGAGGGAGGGGGTACCGAGGTTTTATGTTACTAGGCCGCCGCTCGGTAAGCACTGTGTGGCTTGAGAGGGCCGCGAGTGGTCGATTCGACTGGGTGGCTTAAACGGCCGAGAGTGGTCGATGAGACTTGACTTTATAACTCGGCCACGAGAAGTCACTCGATGTATTGACTCGGCCATGAGAAATCAATTGATCTCGATTTGATAGTTCGGTCATGAGTATTCACTTCGCTTGCTCAGTTAATCAAGTAGCATTCGAAGCATATTGCGGAGGGAAGTTGTTTGGCTTCCATTCATCGCCGATGATCACCGTGGCTGCCTGAGGTTGGTGACGCCGATTGGAGTAGTGGGCCCCGCGTGAATGGCGGCGACATCAAACGGCCACGCTGGGAGCCCCTGTGTTCACCGCCTCTTCTTGGAAGGGGGCGGCCCGAACAAGGACGACGGCCGACTATACCACCGGGCGTGCGATGAGACCCGCCAACAGAAACGAGGGTAAATAATCCACTTGGATCCCGCATAAATGCGGTCGAACATTTACTGAGCGAAGCGAGAGGGTGGAAAGGGTGCCTTCAGAACAAAGTAGCCAAGACGACCCATTGTTTTTTTATTGTATTAATTTAAATAGATGACCATGTCATAATAAAAGAAAGGGTCGTTTTATATTTTCATTAAAAATTGTAAAATAATATTCATCATCATCAATTTTTTTTAAGTAAATGTTTGTTAACGCAAATGTTTTGGACCATTATTATTGAAATTCCCATTCCTGTTCCAGACAGACATGCGTGGGGTTACAATAGATTTGTAATTCGATAGAACTTGTGTGCTGTTACAGCAGTCTGCATTGCAAGAGACTTGGAATCGAGCCTTCAGCAATGACTGCTCACACATCTGTGACAGACCCTTTAACTTGAATTTACATAAGCAAGGTTAAAAACAACAGTGCACAATGCACATTTTAAGAGTAAGCTACTTTTATGTGTTTCAGACACTAAATTATTTGACAAACAAAACTTCAAAAGCATTTTTCTCAGAACAGCATTTTAAGTACACAACCTTTTCCATTCACTATCGCAATTATGGCAGTTTCTTGTTTAAATTACTTTCAAACTTTTGCTTCATAGAAGAATAAAAATAATTCTTACATCTCTCCAGTGAATAACCATTTCCTTAATAATTATCCATTTTCCAAATGTTGCCCCCAGTAATGATACAATCTGTCATTTTGCAAATGCGGCTATGGACTAAGAAATCAGATTGAGATAAAAATCTGCTCTGGTTTAAAAAAGCTTCCTTGCCTGAGGTGATACTGAAGGTCGCAGTCGCCTCACTGCTTGAGCAAGATGCTCTCGTGCCACTGCAGGGGGAGGCCGAGGGCTGTTGGAAGACGGCTGAGATGGCACGGACACCAAGTGCTCTCGAAGAGCAAGCGTAGCCGCTTCACGGATCAAAGAGGCCAGATCAGCACCGGAACATCCCTCTAAATCAGCACTTTCTCCAAGAGTCTGTAGAAGCAGAGCACAAATTGAAAGTATTAACACCATCTCATGATTTATCACATGGATACTTACTTCTGCAACTGTAAAATAAACCAAAAGAAATAAAATTTTAAATTGTCATTCAGGTTTTAAAATTGTTACTCTACCACACCGAATTAATGGAGAACTTGCTACCTCGTTTTAAGAGGCACATACTTGTTGCTGCCACCCAAAATAAATAAATTTACATCCACATTACTTATTTCCAATGTTCACAGAAATTAAAAAAAATCTGTGCAGCTTCTGTTCATGTGAAAGATGTTGATGGTTTTGTTAGGTACCTAGGAACTAAGGAAAAATCCAAAAACAATGAAACAATTTTGATTGTGACTACATGAAAATATTTCATTGTGTTTTTCCACCTATTCTCATACTGCTTGTACAGACTGAATTTTCATCAAGTGGGTCACTGCTTACAAGCCAGCTTTGCTATGTAGCAGCAAGGCTCCAAGGAATACATATTTTCACCGATACGTTCAAGAAGAGGAAACTCAAGGTATGTTTAGTTAAGTTAGTTTCAGGCCAAATATTAAGTTTTATTCATATTTGGCCTGAAAGTTTTGTAAAGTTGTGTACCCATTCTGTGGCCCATAGTAAAAAACATTTATTTGCCTAAAATTCTACGAAATTAACAATAACTGTCAATCATTCCAGTTCAGCTCATCAAACAAATGTACAAAATGTTATTTTTGAAGTAAATTACTCAAAAATTGGGTTATTCATCAAAAGGTTCAATTACCTGCAAATCAACATCAGCAGCCAAGCGTGGTCTTGTTCCATTCTTAGTTAGAGCTCTGAGAATCTCAGCCCGAGCATCAGGGCCAGGCAACCCCACAAATACTATTCGATCCAAACGTCCTGGTCGCAGAACAGCTGGATCAAGTATGTCAGGGCGATTGCTTGCTGCTAACAAGAAAACACCTCGTCGCCCCTCCACACCATCCATCTCGGTCAGCAGTTGGTTGACCACTCGTTGAGTTGCAGAGCTGCCCTCTCCAGAAGGACCCCCGGTACGTCGAGGGCAGAGGGCGTCAAGTTCATCAAAGAATATGACACATGGAGCTGAATTGCGAGCACGCAGAAAGCACTGTCGAACAGCCTTCTCACTCTCACCAACATACTGTAACGAGTTCACAGTGCAAGAACATTTCAGATACAACTTGCATAGTAACACTTTCACTTTGTTTCCAAACAAAATATTTTCAATTCAATACTAAGTAATATTATTGTTGAAATTCTATGCAATCTTAGAAAGATCCCCACAGCTCCTTCATTCTCAAAAAGGTTTAATAGAATTGCTCCTACAATCTTTCACTGGTTAAGAATAGAAAAAAAAAAGCAAGAGAGAGGAGAGAGCGAGCAGCGAGAGAGAGAGAGAGAGAGAGAGAGAGCGTGAGAGCGAGAGAGAGAGTCCCAAAGGAACGATAGTGATGTCTCTGCAGAGTTGATGTTTATTAAGAAAACAAAAAAATCTTATTGCACAAAGCATTGAAAATTAAAGAGCGCTGAGAGCCGCCTGCTGCTGCTGTTGTGTACTGATGCAGGAATGACCACATGACCATACATTTGCAGGCCAAGTAAGTGGCAAGAGTACTCTACACCACCCCCAGTTGCCAAATAAGAAAGAAGTATTTGGACTTTGGACAATAGAGATTGGTGTCATACAGTTGCCATAGTAGACATACCTTTTAGAGCAAACTCCTATGGCACCCAAAAGGGTCACGAAAGAAGGGTAATAGAAACATGCTTGGTGGGTCGGATGGCACGATATGTAACTCAGGTAAACATCCCCTCGAGGATAGGACCAAGAAGATGAAGGAAAGATTACACACGGTCCAAGTTCTCTTTCTTCAGGTACTGCTCCAGCATCTGCCTGGTACTGATCAAAGAAACTACACAAAACTACCAATCAGAGCAGCCGGCCACTAGAACTCTCCTCCAGACACCGATTCAACTTGTCCTAGCTATGTGGCTGGTGTTGAAAACCCCAACAGTCACTTCATAGAGGTACTGGAGTGACATCAACTGATGCCCTGAACCACCCTTTCCTTTTCTCCTCTTGTGCCCCTCCCACTTCTTTTTCTCATTCCTCTCCTAGTCATTTTTCATTTCTGCCTCCTCCATTATCTACATTTATTTGGATTGTTCACAATTTGAATCTCTAATCTCATTCTGAATGATATAATTCTAAATGATTGTTCTCAATTTTGTTTTCCTAAGTGTCAATTTGAATACAATTGGTCTCAAATTGAACCATTTATAGCTACAATCAACCTTTTACCACATCACATTCTGTCCTGCTTGAGAAATAAACAAATCACTCATGTATAAACAATATTGAGAAGTATACTGCTTGGCATCTTTCATATTTATCTTATTTCAATTTTTCACACTTCAATGATACTGTAAATAACATATACCCTTAAATAACAATGAGCCATCTTTATTTCTTTTATAGCAAAGTACTAAATTAATTCAATGATTATATAAGTGCAGTCTATCAGAATTTATGGTTACAATCAACTACATTTCATTCTTTAACCTATTTATAAACTAGACAAGAATAACAACATCATACTTGCCACCTCTTGAGAAACCTGAGAGAAGATGACTTCTAGTAATATTCAATTTGCATGCTATTCATGTACTAAAATAATATTTTCACTTTTCTCAAAATGAGCAATCTCAAGTGTTGATCATGGCTTTGGCCTTGATTATGTCTTGACAGAAATCTAAGATACCTTTACTAACTGCAAAACTTAACAAAAATAGCTTTGCAACATATATTATCACAATTAGATCACTGGTGAGGTAGATACCTACTATTATTTATCATACTTAAATATACTATCACAGTAACACACTCTTTTGTTCCATTTGCAACCACTTGTTAGAAGAAAGAATGTTAAACATCAATAACATTTATGCCATTATATATTAATAACAATACAATATTAACCATTGCAAAATGTGCTTTTTACAAAAAAATAATGTGGATTACATTTGTTTCCATTTTCAGCAATATTGTTAAATTCATGGAGCAATATTTCGAAAATAGCTTAACTAGATAAAGTTGAAATGCTAATATGTCTGTTTGAAGAAACCTGCTACAAAGTCTCTAAGAACATTCATTCATACATACATACAATTATATCACTCACCATATTAAGAAGTTCAGGTCCCTTTACTGAAATAAAATTAATGTCTGCCTCATTGGCAATAGCTTTGGCAATAAGAGTTTTTCCACAACCCGGTGGCCCACAAAGTAACAAGCCAGCAGGAGCAGTAAGACCCAAAGCCTCGAAGGCATCTGGATGACGAACTGGAGCCTGAGACAAAAATTCTGATGGTAATACTATTTCAGGAAATACATTACAGTTAAAAATCATAATCATGATAATAAACAACTGTGTTAATATGAAAAAATAAATATATATTAAAATTTAATAGCAATATAACATGCAAATAAAAACTTTCACCAAATTGTAATTCAACTAAAGAGGAAATTTTACAATTTCTTCATTTTAATTAGTAAAAAAGGCCCAAACCAGAGAATTACTCAAAATTAAAAGCTCAATACAAAGTCTCACCAGAATGGCCATTTGTAATTCTTCTCTGACATCCCTAAGGGCACCAACATCATCCCAGGAGATGTCTGGCACTGTAGCAAAGCCCTCTCTTTTTGCACTCGGTTGAACGTGCTTTAGAGCAACTTCAAAGTCCTTCTGAGTAATGAACATGTTCTCAAGCTGATTATCAGTTAAAGCTGGGAAGTGTGTATTCCACACATTGGCTGCAAGGGATTTTGTGTGAAGAATTTCAGATGCTGGGACGGGGACTACCTCCTCATCTAGTTCATCCTCCAACACCTGCAAGAGACATAGGGCTTACAGTCACGTGCTACTTATCAGTATTCTTTTTAATTCATCATTTAACAGTTCTCATGAGCATAATGATCAAACAAAAGTAAATAGTTTTATTATTTATGTTGTTACCCAGGCAGAACATGAAAATGCTGGGAAGACCAGGAGACACCTTGGGAGCAACTATGGGAATTCTGGAATATTTAAAAGGAACAGATCAAAAGGCCTAAACTTCGTATGTTAGCAATGATTGTTATTTATGTAAAAATTTTCAGGGAAAGTCATTTCACAGGAGAGACCTAAAGACTTACTATCATTTTTCTTTGTATCATGTACCAATGTATTTCTTACAATTTAGTATGATTAACGTACCAATTCGAAGTAAAACCCTAAATAGTTTCTTGCTCACTAAAATGTTCAGAGCTTATTTTTATTAAAAACAAAACAAATCCACTTGTTACTGATTTTGTAGGAGCAAAACAGTGTTTCAAATGACCTTTCCTCACAGCAGGCATCCCATGTATCCTAGCAATCATTCAATCATTTCAAGTTGCATCCACAAGTGTGAATTCTTGTGCTTTTTCTCTTTCTTGCCCTTGTACGTTCTCAATACTATTTCAAAATATGTGTCTCATAGAAAATTTTAATTCACATGTTTATTTTAAAAATCATTTATTAATTTACATACCATAAGGATTATTGTATTTCAAAAGATTCTCACCTCCATATCGTCATCAGCATCAGGAGTCGATGATCCTTTTGTTGTCTTGTCTTTTGCAGCTGCATCGGAGCTTGTCACTTCCGCCTCAATGCACACTTCATCCTCATCAATTCCCACCAACTTCGTTACAGAGGAATCAGCCTTTGCTGCAGGGGTCTTACTTGAACCTAAGAGGAAAATTCAATTACACCCACGACAGATGAATGTCAAATTGTCCTAATAAACTTTTTTGAATTAAAATATTCTTTATTCAATGTGCGCCAAATAAGTCTTAACACTCCTTTTATTTTCTGAACTGAGAAAGATTTAGAAAATTCTGTTTACACCATTAATGGAATAGAGTGGGATTACCTAGATACAACATATTTTTTGATATGTACGTCAGTAAACATGAGCTTAGCTTCTTGGCAACCAACCATCAAATCAAACGCTTTAAGAGTGTGTCCATAACAACAGCCATTAAAAATATTCTAGCTGGCTCTCGGATTTAGACTTTCCCAGTGTATCTTGAATCTTTGGATAAGTATGCCCTGCTTGCCCACTTTGTCCTCTTTGTTCCCATTCGACCCACTTGTGCATCTGCTGCCTTGGCTCATTTTCTTCCATTAATTTTTAATTTGAGACTGTTCTACCAGCAATATCACTCATATTATGGATCCTTCCCAAGATGACACTCAATGAGAAGATGTTGGATGTCATTATCCATGATTAAAATCTCCTACTATATTAACAAAGAAATATTTTATATTATATAGCAAAGGTTATTGTGAGGTCAATCATTTAAAAAAAATGTTTCTGCTTGTACAGAAGCAGTTCTGAGAATTAAAAAATTGTAACTGCTTCACAGAATTCACACATTTATTTGATTTCAAGAACAAAAGTAGGCTGATGGATCTACCACATCATAAAAAAAACGGTATTTAATTCATCTCTCAACCTGCCTGGGAGAACCTGATCTTTTGTCAATTTGGCAACTTCATGAAATTACATTGGCATTCCTTTCACTTTTGGCGACCCTCTTAACAGTCGGGTGCCCTCCACCCAATTGGGGTGGAGAAATGCGGCAATTTTAGTTGGAAGAAGGAGAAAGCACTTATTCTGTCCTTGGGCAGACGCTCTTTCGCATTTCAGTCATCCTCCTAAGAACTCACGGGAAAGAAGAATCGCCAAAATTGACATTTTAAGGAACAATAATATTTCATTATTTTTTATTAATGGTTATAAATAATTGCCAATGGCAGTTTGCAAAATATTTAGAATTTAAAAAATTTGGGAAGATGCTCACCACAGGGAATTAACAATCCTTGTCTCTACACAAAATTCAATCTACAAAGTCTTAAGAGTAGGAAGCATAACACAAAGCAGTGGCATACCATTCGAGCAGGCAAGATCCACAATGCAGGTGGAACCAGGTAAAAGAGGGAATATTTTTATTATTTAAGGTACGAGGATTACTTATGTTTGTTAGACACTTTTATAAAGTTTCGCGGAAGGGCCTGCACTCATTTTGTTACGCTACTGATACAAAGTCCACAAGCACTTTCGACCATTGCATTCTCGATTCCCAGGTAGAATAGTCGTTCCACAGACAGTTATATAATCAAAATAACTAACAATCATCTATTGTTCAACGTAAGACTCTCTAAAATAATGGAATCAACTAATAATTTTTTAGTTAGCAATGTATCTGATGTAGATATCTTTATTAATTTCATTTCCTCTCGAACTACCAATATTAACAAATATCTTAATAATATGTATTAATACTTTTAACATTCTATCCTTAAAGGTATATTTCTATATTTGTGTATTTCTAATAATAATAATAATAATAATAATAATAATAATTATTATTATTATTATAATAAATATAATAATAATAATAATAATAATAATAATAATAATAATAATAGTAATAATAATAATAATTAAAATTAATACCAGACTATTTACTTTTTGACAGCTTTGCAATGGTTTATTTTAATACGCCCACGGGAACACACACAAATTAAATTAAGTCTTCTACGTTCAACTAAAAAGCAATACAAAATTCACATAAAATAAACCAACTCTACACAATATACTCTTACCTGACTCATTGGGTGTATCTCTATCTGAAATGTCAATGACTTCCATGCTCTCATTTGTTTTATTTTCAATAACTTCCTTTTTAGCCTCCTTTTCTGTTTCAGTATCTTTTTTGGCTTCCTGATCAGCTTCCTTGTCCACATCCATTTTAGTCTCTTCCTTCTCTTCTTTACTGACTTCCTTTTCTTCGGATGTTGAAGCTTTTGTCTCGTCTTTGATTTTTGCCTCGCTTTCATCATTTCGCTCCTCCGCAGCTGCAGTCTTCTCATTGTCTTTTGTTGCTTCAGCTCCTCCTCGCTGAGTATCATCTAAAACCCTAATTCAACAGAAACCATATTTTTCTTACTATTTGCAGTGAAACCTGTTGAAATGATCACCAAAACTAGGCACCTTTATTTGACAGCCACAACTCTCACTGGAAATTTTGAACTGTAACACAACAAGCAGAAAAGTGTGCTTACGATTGCCCATTGCACCAAAAAGAATTTTAAGATTTAAGTCAGTGCTAACATTCTGATCACCCCTTCTCATAGAAAGATATTAATTCTGTTTCTAATTTTTCAATTAAATGATTTTCATGCATGCTTTGAAATTTCTTTATATGTATTGTCTATTGGGTTGTAAAATGGGTTGCTCTGGTAAGACAATGAGCAATAAGTCAAAAGTATCCAACACAGGAAAGTGGATTCTGAAATACAGGAAAGTGACTTAGAAGTGTGAAAGACGTTTCAGCAAAAAACTTGCTCATAACACAAGTGTGAAAGGTCATAGTAAATAAAACTAATCCAAACAATGGATTTATTTTACAGGAACATTACACGAACAAACTGTATTAGCAGAAGAAAAACACACGTAAACGCACACGCACACATTATCCAAACATTTTCGTTGAATGAAATTATTGCACCCTTCGCAAGGAAATTCACAAGGAAAAATGGGAGTCATCCTCTAAGGCCCCAAGAATACAAAGTGCGAAGTATGCCGAGCCTCTAGGTCCTTTCACAGGCCTTCATCAAAGAAGACAGCTTTTGTCATAATACAATTGATGTGGATATCTTTGTAGCAACGCTTTCCTCCACAGAAAAGGGTGAGTTATATCTACACCACTTGAAAAATCCAATGCAAGTTTCCCCGTCTCCTCTTATAATTGAGAAACCCTGCTGTGTTGCGAGCAACAGGAGAGGTTCTCGTAGCAAGAAGCCAGTTGCTCTGCATTGTCTTTTGGGGAGGTGATGAGATTTCTTTTCACCAGCAAACCTGGGATGTTCGGAAAGGGAAACTTGCCAAACTTCTCAATCTCTCTGGCCAGTTTAATGGTAGAGATACTCATCATTGTTTCTCCCTCATCACTATGGGACATGATAAGGCAACAGGGCTTTGTCGTTCTATTGAAATCTTTGCAAAAAAATCTTTCTAGATCCAGTTTCACCAACAAATCTCCTCTTCCTTATGGAAGAGGGCAGGGAGGGAGGGGTTGCTATTGAATCTATGAGAAGGGATTCTAATTCGTTCTCATGGTCCCCACCCAACAAGGGGACACTCCATCAGAGTGCCAGGGCTGCCATGAGGATGTAGCAAGACACATGGTTTCTCCCCCGACACTGATCGGGAATGGCTTAGCTACCTACCGCCCCCTAGAAGAAGCCAAGGCCAAAGCAAGGGTATCAAGGCCTATAAGGAATGTTCTCCATAATACATAAATAATATATTCCTAGCCGCAAAGCTGCAATGTGGCACAAGGGTAGCAGTTGGGAAACAAACCCTACCACCAGGACAACCACTCCCTCCTACAAGTATTTCCCAAAGAATGGAAACACATTAGTGGGCGTTAAGCAAGGGTAAGGGGAAGGGGAAGGGGAAAAGAGACAGGATGTTATAAAATAATAAGAATGAACAATGGAATAAAAGAATGCTGACTCATGAAACAAATGAATACTTGAGAGCCCTTCCTGCATTCCCCTATCAGAACATAGACCAACACACCTTGTTTCTTGAGGGAGATTTCAATCATTTACAAGAACAACTCAACTCTGATTAAGAACTGCACTCAGACAAAAATTATTCAATATTACAGCCCTCCCTTTCGTAACAGCATTAAAAGTTCGGTTCATCTTAGTCCTACCTAGAAACTGCAGCTAATGCTGCTTCCCGAGTCAAAGCCTGAAGATCTGCACCCACAAAGCCAGGGGTGCACTTTGCAAGGGCATGTAGGTCGACATCTGGTGCAAGACGCATTGAACGACACAGGATTCCCAGGATAGCTTCTCGGGCACGAGCGTCTGGTATGCCGAGCCGAATTTCACGATCAAAACGCCCAGCTCGACGCAAAGCAGGATCAAGAGCTTCAGGCCGACTGGTTGCACCCAACACCAGCACCTTTAGCAGAGAAACACATTCTTTAAACTCAAAATACTTAACCAATTTAAATACAAACACATATTACTTTATTAAAAAGGAGTTATTGTTATTATTAATGTTATTGTTATTATGATCATTGTTATTATTATTACTACTACTACTACTACTAATCATGCAAATATTGCTAAACATAGTTATTACAAAACGTGATCAGTTACAATCGCATTGTCTGGGGTAATGAGGAAATTTTGGATAGGGATACTAATGCATATAAAAGTTTTACATCGGAAATGTTTCACATTCGCCATACTTGTAAGCCCATCAAACTAGTCAGTACTGAGAAGCTAGGTCATATTTAGAATCTGTTAATGTAGTTTTCTATTGAATGTTTATTCAGAAACATGTTTACTCCAGGGTATCTGGTGCCTGCAATTTCTATTTTACTCTTTGCCACCTTTCACATAATTTTTTGTAATTACATTGGCATCTGTGATCATGTACCCCATTCTGTATAATGTTTCACACCACTGTTCCTCCTACGTTCTGTATTCTTATACCATATCTTTTTGTATAATTATGTTACCTGTAAGTTATGAAATTTTGTCATTATAACATAAACTCGTAGTGCTAGTGCGAGTTGCTATCATGATCAAAAGTAAAATGCAATATCAAACAATGACCCAACATGAAGGATGTGTTGTTTTCCAATGTGATTGATCTCTATTGCTGTAATAGTAAGAAAGAGTTAGAACATTATCCTTAATGTCTGCAGAAGGTACCCGAAAAAATGAGTATCTTCCTCGTCTATAAAGATAATTAATTCATTACTTTGTTGAACAGAAACTGTTAGATACAAGGTGTTTCCAGAAAGATGCAAGGTTTGAGTCGCAAATTTTCAGTTATGATTACGAGATCCTAGCGCAGTTGAAAGACAACGAGGAATTCCAATACTGAAAGGAAATATCATTGGGTTCACAAAATAAAGACAAGCAATTGAATTGACAGTGCAGCAATTGTAGGAAAAAATCATCAACGACACCAGCCTATGACTTAAAAAATTATCAAAATTTACTTAAACTATTGTATGAGAAAGTTACAAGAAAAAATTAGTGTGGTTTTTGAGAAAATAATTTTATAAGAAATTGCATAAAACTCAAGGGTAAATTATGCAAAAACTTTTAGTTTTTTAAAAAAACTGTATATTACTTTATTTAAAGAGCTGCATTTTCCAACTTTGTTAAAAGCAAAAATCACCATTTCAAATTACGTAGTTTTGAAATGTTACTTTTGACAATTTTTGAAAAAAATCTATTATATATTGATAGCCAAAAATGAGACTGGCACCATATTTTCACCCTCCCTCATTACACATTTAACTTAAACAAAAAATTTAGAGAGGTTTTGGGAGAAAATATGCACATGTTTCGCACACAATTACAAGAAAAACACTCATATTTTTGAAAAATTGAACATGAACTTATTTAAAGATCCATCTTCAAGAAAAAGATTTCATTAACGAAAAAAAAATTATTTCATTAACGAAAAATAGTTGTAGGAAGTTGCCCCCAAAGTATTGTGTTTTCGTAAGAAAGTGACTTCAACAAACTAGAGATCTGCTTCATTCTCTTAAAGTGTCCTTTATGCAATTCAAAGACAAAGTCTGATCAAAAAAATTTGGTGCAGTTTTTGAGATAATTTTGAAAATGTTTTTTGATGCTTCATGTCAAGTTTTCACAAAAATCAAAATTTGCATTTGAAACTCCCAAAGCCTTGAGTCCATTCAGGGCGATTGGGGAAAACCAATTTTGAAGAAAATCGGCTGAAGGGTTTATACACTTCTACCACAGATGGACATACTGACGTTCTGCCATCAATTGCTTTTTTGGTATCAGCAACCCACAAAATATGGATTCTGGCGACACCACATGATAGAGTTTTTATAAATTTAGCAACAGGATTTCTCCACTTTTTCATTACCATGGCTTGGCACAAGGAGTTTTTCTGCACACAATTACATAACACAATTTATTTTCTTTACAGAACTTGTAGACATTACATTACATAAGCCATTTCAGGTGCACAATTACATAATTTTCTCTTCTTACAAGTCACTTCATAAGGCAAGAAAGAAAAATTTCAATCAATGATCTTAAAAAGACTGGAGTCCGTAAAAGCCTCAACTTGGTATTTTTTTTAACGGTTGTTGCTCTGCTGAGGATTAATTGGATATTGTAGCATGGTAGCTATATTCTAATATGGTAGTACATGGCAATGTCATTCCTTTCCGCCCCCCAAATGTCAAACACCTAATTTAACTGTGTTAGAAGAAAGTGCCACATTTGGCATCTCTGCTGCCTTAACAGACTACCACTAACTCAACACCTCAGACATGTCATAGCAATCCTACCTAACACACTCTGAAGGATGGGGAGAAAAATCTTTTATTTGTCCAATTTGTTGACAAATTCAATACTTTACCCTGCATTCTGTCTTTGTTTTGCATATTTGATACCTTAAACTTTCATTTTAAAATCCAAATGAATTTAACATCTTTAATTTGAGGAAGCCTGGTTTTCTTATTTCAATGCAATATTATATAATACAAAAACAGCTCAAACTGAAGTACTGTCACTGCACAAATGAAATATGACACTGAAGTCTGCATGATCCCAACATGAATAGCTATACTACCAATTAATGCAAAGAGAGAGTGTTAAGTAGGCTGAAGTTACATTAGTTATAACAACCCAATATGAATTTTTATTGCAGTTGAAATACATAAGTAACAAGATCTCTGACGTGATTTACTGAAAACGTACAGTCCATGCCAATTTGTCCATGTGATTCCATTAAGTGTAAAAGAGTGTCAAGAACAGGCTAATACACTTCAGTGAAGGGTGAATGCAGAATAAGGACATGTGTGACTTGCATACGAATGCATACCTCACCAGCACCCAGAGGCACAGTAGAATCTGGACCTGATCGGCCCAGTTCATCCAAGCACGAGAGGAGCTGTGCGACAATACGACGCTCCATCTCCCGTTGGGCACCAGCCCGAGGAGGGGCCAGTGCGTCCACTTCATCCAAAAAGAGAACACAGGGAGCAGAACGGGCTGCTTGCTCAAAGAGGTCACGCACACGGGCCTCACTCTCCCCTGAAACTCCAGCCACCAGCTCAGGGCCCGCAACCCGCAGCAGAGGCAGGCGCAGTTCTCCAGCCACCGCACGAGCCAGAAGAGACTTGCCACAGCCTGGTGGCCCATGCAGCAACACGCCGCGGGGTGGTGGAACACCCAAAGTCCGGAAAATCTCTGGGCGTCGAAGGTGAGCCAGTAGTCTGCCCACTTCCTATAAACCCATATACAAAAATTAGTTTAGAGCATCAAATCTTACAACAGAGAGTCACGGATTCAGTTCTCAGTGACGTCAAATACAGTCTGAAAACCATTTTTAGACATTACATCTGATATGTATGTTTACACCACACTGGCCTTCATAAGTGTTAAGACTATGGTTAGCTAAAATAAGTGTTTAATTTTTATTGACCGACCATATCTTTCTTCCACTATATGAATAAAAATTACTCAATTTATTGGAAACAGAAGTAAAAATCTTTAACAAAATATTCTGAACAACAGGAGTATATAATTACCTACTAGAGACAAATACATTAGATATAAAAGTTTGCAAACAGTATCAATATGAACTGCATACTCTAAATTAATGACTTGTTCTTTATCCGAATGGATCAATTCCTAACCTCAAATGGTCTACTGTTGAACTCCCATTTTGGAGGTTGCGTATCTGATTGAGCTGCAGACATCACCTCACCAGCTCACTGAAGTGGAGGAAAGACGAAGAGTCAATTGCCAAATTGGTAAAGGCATCGTGGATCCCTTTCCTTGACAGAACCCACTGAATAGCTGCATGAGGAACTGTGTCGAATACTTTGGATATATTTAGCGCAGCTCCAACACCAATCTACTTTTTTCATGTCAGAAACTGCTTCATGAAGAAGTTTGAACATTAGCTAAACAGCCAGGTTTGGGGATAAACTTTTGTTGGCAAGTTACAATGGATCGAAAGCTTTTTTTCATAACTCCCCAAATGATTCTGCACAGTGAAGGACCAATTATAATGGAGGAATAGTTACAATAAGTAATTTACTATCCATATGAACAAGACTTATTCAGTTTTTCATTACCAGGGCCTGGCAATAAGAGATTTTGTGATGCAGTTTCTAAGGCTTGATATCAATGTTTTCTTCTTATGAAGTGGAAAAATTAAAACAGAGTTATCAGCAGCGCAAGTTGTTTGGCCCCTCCCAAGAATAATTTTTAAACAACGTTTGATTTTTGCTGCTTGCTGCAGGTGAGACTTACCTCCAGGAGGTCGTCGACGCCGCCGACGTCGGCGAAGGACACGCCGGGCTCCTGGGGCTCCACGGCGAGCGGCGGGCCGTGGGCGGCGCTGGCGGCGGGGGCGGCATCGCGGCGCCGCTTGACGGCAGGGCTGTCGCGCGCCCCGGGGCCTGCGCCTGCGCCGGCGGAGACGGAGGCGGAGGCGGCGATGGCGCTGGTGGTGGAGGAGGCGGCGGACGAGGGCCCGCTGGGGCGCGGGCGCTTCGCCTGGCGCGGCGTGGACGACGCGGCGGGGGTAGCGGGCGGCCAGGGGCGCATGGGCGACGGCTCCCCGCCGCCCGGCCCCCCGGCCCGCCCGCGCCGCCCGCTCCGCCTCGCGGGCCGCCCCGCTGCGCCGCCCGCGCCCGGCACCGCGCCGCCGGGTCCTGGCCCCGGGCCCGGCCCCCGCCCAGGCGACCCCCCTGCAGACACACGCCACAAACACGTGGCTGCAAACAGCCTCCACACAATGTCCGTACGAGCCCATTCAACACCACAAGCACGAAGCAAAGCACAGGGGCTCCAATTACAACCAATTTTAGGAATTCGCGCTCCTTTCTTCGCCGCACAGAGCGCCCGTGTCGGGGGGGGCGCCGAAGGATATTTAGAAGGAAGAAAATAAGCTTCGTGGTAAAACCGCGGGAGAATGAGATGCCAAAAGAGCGGTCTCCAAGTGAGCAACGCGGCGCTTTTATGTAGACTCGAACGCGATGACAACTCAGGATATCTTTCGAACTTTTTCATTTGAAATCCTCTCGTTCACGAAAGTTTTCCGTGTTTCTTATAAATACCAGCAAATGCCGGAGCGTCCTAACAAAAGTATCGTGCGCGATCTTACCTTCCTCTTCCTTGTCCTATCATTGCCCCTTACTTTCACATACTACCTTCACACACATGCCGGGAAACGACGTTAGGGAGCTTCGACAGTCGTCCGAGTGGGCACTCTCTTGATAGGAGATTCTTGGATGGGAATATCCCGCTAGCCGACGTGTAGGTCGGCGACGCACTCTCACACCCCGAGGAAAACGTGCACTCAGTACCGCGACAAACGACCTTAGCAGAACCACTAAGAATCAATCATTCGGAAGGATAGGTTGCACTTCTTGAATACTCTACCCTGTCAAGGCGCGTGCTGTGAAACGGCCCTCACCAGCCTGTCCCGACGAAGCGAGGAGATGGCGCCGCCACTGGCGGGCGGCGCCGGGTGTGGGCGGGGGGCCGAGGGTGGGCGTCGGCAGGAGGCCCACCGACGAGGACGAGGGCGCGTGACCCCCGCGGCTCTTGGGGCCCCCGCCCCCGCCGTCCTCTTCGTCGCTGCTGATGTTGATGAGCTCCTTGTCCCCGCCGCCCGCCTCCCCGCGCCTGCAACACGAGCGGGCGATGGCACCGGCAGCCGCGCGTCAAGAGCGAGGACACCTGTGCAAGCGCTGCCCGCTGCACACCCACATGGCGACTTTCGCGACTTGCGGAAATTCTGAGCGTTGGGCAAAAATGAGACCCGCGCCATTTTCAAGCATGCTTTGCTCTGACCGTAGGAAAAATTTCAAAGAAAAAAATGGAGCCATCTTTCAGAATTTTTCTCCCATAAATTGCATTAACAACAAGTAGAAATTAAACGAAAATTGCAAACTTATTTAGCTGATATTTAGTACACATTTCGAAAAATTGTCCTTTCTTTCAAGATGCCTTTACATAAAAGATTTTATTCAGGAAAAATTTATATCTTCAATATTATAGTTGAAGAAAGATGCCGAAAAATTTTTCAATTTTTACCATTTTTTGGGGGCGGGGACGGATTCTAACGGGCGACCTAAGCTCTTTTGCACTAGGAAAAAACCTGAGCTCGTTTTTGAGAAAATTTTGATAATGCTGTGAAGCAGAAGTAATTTAAATCACTACTACTATTCATGATCCCTGCCTACACGGTACTACTTATTCTCTTGAACACAGGCTCCTGGCAAATATTGTTTACACTAGGACGCATTGTATTTCTAATAAAACTATAACGTGTGATGAAGACCGGTGTACAATTACTTCTGTAGAGATAGAACGTTCTTTCAACCACTCGTGACTCCAGGGCGTGATTGGCGATGTTCCGAGTTCGCAAAATGCCTGAATTTTAAACAATAACTAATTAATTTTTATTTTACATATTTTATATTTTTTCTAGTAATTTTTTGAAAATAAATGTACATATTTTGCTTTCTTATTGCGATAAATTCCGTTCCCTAAAAATCAGCCATTATTTTCCCCTTATCTCTCAGATTAAAACGTTTTAAAATAGCAAATACACGACACAGAACAAAATGCTCAAATGACGCTCAAAAACAAATTGTTGTATATGGCTGACGTTGCTCAAGTTAATATAATAGTTTGCAGTCCACGTGAGGGGATTCTACCACTCTACGTCAGTAATTTTTTCGGTTGTCACTCGATTTTGACGCTCGCATAAGACAAGACGTTAAGGCAGATCACAACTTTACAAGAAGCAAAACAACATTATTTGGTGTGGCAGCAGTTTTAAATGCATGAATACATCTCAAAAAGCTATCTAACTAAAAGTAAGAAAGCTGTGGGAACTAGGGAATTCAGAGAATATTGTTTCCTAACCAGAATCAGCAATATCTCTAACTACAAGTATATTACCGAATGTTTCTATTACTTCAATACTAAAAATTTACTTATTACTGAATTTTATACAAAAAGATGTTTTTCAAAGAATTTACTACGGAAAACTTCGTCTAATGATTTTCTCCTAAAAGCACATAAATCACTCCGGCTTTAACACTTTCTTTGCAATTTTTCGAAGTTGAATATTCATTAAAAATTAATTTTGAAAACAAGGTAAATATATTTTACGGAATGCCCTAGACACCCACAAAAAGCACCCTGCAATGCAAGCGTAGGCTTCTGCGACAGAGTCAGCATCCACTTGGCTGTCCGGGAGACGCCCCGTCCTGGGCACAGAGGCCACACTCGGCCGTCATGCCGCGACCTTCCTCAGGGCGACAAGGCGAAACGTTACATCTGGGCTCGGGACGCGGTGTCTTCCAGACAAGTAGATGAGACAGTAACGCAGTCTTCCCAACTTCAAAATTCCCTCATAAGCTGAAAAAATGCTTCATTTCTTATTAATATTTTAGATGTTTTAGAAGTATTTAAAGATCTAATCATTACTTCATTTAACAATTAGTAAGCCATCTACAAGAAATACTACCAGAAAGTATAATAATATTGTTTGAAGAAATGTGCACATTCAAGTTTTAACAAGCAAAATTAATTTTCATGTTGGCCTATTCTACAAAACTTAATAAAAATGGTTCACTTCGCAATGGAGGATGACAAAATCAAAAGGAGATAACATGTTTTCTATACTCATGCCTCTTGTTTAGAATTTTTGGTAGAGATCAGGTACAAAAAGTCTACATAAAAAAGGATGGTAAATGTAAGGAACAAAATCAGTTTCAAGTTTTACTTTCCTTTTCTTGGCCATGACAGTCTACACCATGCACATAGTGGTGAATTCTAAGGAGCTGCTAAACATGCAGCACTTGCCATAGAGTTTAGTGGAAAACCATTTCATCAATGTCACTTGTATTTCTTCAATATGTAATTGTTCAAAAAGCAGTTTGCAATGATAGTACACTACAGCTACTCTCTACTATCTTTAAAACTGTTCTAGTCACAACTGAGAGCAGACATATTAAAACAAATACTTGACTTAATGACTTGTTGAATATCATGCACATACATTTTGATACATGGGTGCAGGTTTGTTTCTTTTCCTTTACCACATAAATGTAATGGCACACTGGTGTAACTAGACAGGTAGTCCCAATATGGCAAACCAGAGTAGCAGGGCAGAATCAAATGGACTGACAGCCACACCGAGGACACAAATGTTTTGAAGTAATCTCCAAGCATGGTTATCCTCATAGGTGTAATGTAGGGGGGTTCTGTCCCCAATAATAATAATAATAATAACAATAATAATAATAATAATAATAATAATAATAATAATAATGTATTACAAACCTTTTATTATTTCACGTCAAATTTATCAGATTGAATGTATTTTGTGACTTCTTAAGGAGATGAAAGATACACCAAACTGATCATGATTTTAAAATATAATTGCTAACATGTTTTACAGTAGCACTTTCTCTTTATAATAAATGCACTAGTCCAGCACAGTTATTGTTTTATAGTGTGAATTCAATTACTTTTGAAATATTACATTGGGAACTGCAAATGGCATTTCGAACATTGTCACTCAAATGTATGTATAAATAATATTTTTGCTTTCCTGCCCATTCCCCTGGATTGTGTTTGAACCAAGCATGAAAAAAAAAAAAAAAAACACAGCTATAATCCAAATTCAAGTTCAGGGATGAATGACTATGAATGTACTGAATTGGCAATCTCCAAGCATGGTTATCCTCGTACGCATAAGAGCAAACACAGCAGTTGATGCTTCGTGTTTTACTCCCTTAAAGAGACCCCACACTTGGGTTTCTTGTTCGATGCCTACAATTTGGAAGCAGATTTTCCTCAGGGAAAATTGAGCCTGTGAAGGCGCCTCAACCAACAGTCGCTGCGTTGGTTGTCTATCCTTAAGTGCTCTCATGAACTGCTTCTGAGATGAGAGTTTCTTGTATCCTAGCTGGCAGGGCATGGACTTATCTTGTAGGCTTCTGCCTGCCTCTCTCTCATATCAGACTTAGAACTGAAGAAGAATATCTTCTATTGAAATATTTACATTACATTCTACACCGTTTCCTTAGACGTCTTCCCCATCTCCTCTCACTATACACTACTACCGTCCCCCACCCATCCTTTCTACATACAAAACAAAAATATTGTTAAAGATCAATCAATAAAGGTTTTTGTTTTAAAATATTGTTTAAGCAAGTCAAAATTATTTCTTACTTATATTTAAATAGTTGCAGAAAATGTTTATTTCTAACCTTAATTAAACATTAATTTCATTAAATAAGAAATTTATTGAATTAAAAATTTGATTCAAATGAAAACAAAACATTGCGAAGACCATAGAATTATTCACATCATGCCCAACCATACACTTTTTATTATTTACAGTTTTCACTGTCCAAACCAGAAAGCACTTCTTTCAACTATTCCCATTATTTTACAGCTCTGCAATTAAACTCCTTTTGTACACAAATGGATTAAAGGAAAACACAGTCTTAAATGCCAGCAAAATCAGTAATTACAAAAAATCTTATTTTAATTAAACCACTATTAAAATAAACTTATTTAAAACAAGAAATTACAAAATTGTATGTTAAAATTTTCAGATGGTATTAACCAAGGCAGAGCCCCCAGTGGCAGCTGGACTGCGTAAGTGCTGCGGTGCTAGAGCACACTAGATATTTTCATTAATGAAAAAAAGAAATTATGTTTCAAAATACTGGATTTTTAATTACTGATAAAAACATTGTTAATTTACTTTACCAATGTGGAGACACTGTTCTTAACACACAAGCATTTGTCTCGAGTGATCTAGGGTCTGCCATACTGTCTTGAAGAGCGCCCGATGACACCACGCAGAGCACGAGAATTCGTGTAGTGTATATGCACTAAAATGCTCGCCCTTAGCTATTGAAAGCTTTTCCGCAGCCCCAAGCTTGTGAATACCATGCAAACCTGCCATCTACCGGACACTTTCATACTAGAAAACGTGTAAAAGCACCAAAAGACAAAACTTGCGCCGAAATTGGAATTCAAAATTTAAAAAAAATTGTAAATATTAAGATTTTATAAGTGACAAAATAAATATAAATACTATATATTAACTATATAAGTTGAAGAACAAAAATTAACACCAAATTACCATTACAAAGCTTATTCACTCAATTGTGAGTGATTCACTCAAATCACTCAACTTATTCACTTCAACAATAAATTATTAAAAGTAAAATTTTAGGTGTAGTTATAAAATCCTGCTACAAGTAAATTTTGCAACGATCATGCACAGTAACAGCATAGATACGAACTATGATATTAATGCTACTGATTTCAAGAAGCAATCTTAAATGCTTACAGTATATACACAAATAATAACCAACTAAAAATGTTTAATAACCAAAAATTTGAACAGTAAAAAGAACAAATGCAATGAAGAGTAGACAATTCATTCTTCTACTTATAGCAATTAATCCTTTTTTTGAATTGAATTGAATTTGCCTTATTTTACGTGGCGAGACTCGGGCCATCAGGCCCGCTCTTCCGTCTGACCACACAAATTTCGCTACGCTACGCAGAGAAAGGAGGTATTTCTTGGGCGAGAAACAGGCGATTTGAATTTAGCTCAGAGGCATAATTTAGGCTTGAGGATCTTTTACATGCAAGTATATCTACGAACATGGGACAGCAGGCTTTACTTCCTCTCCGAAGGAAGGCGTACGAAGGATTTTATCACCTTAAAAATCCACGGCTTCGATCGGGTTTGAACCAGCAAACTTGGGTACAACAGTCCGGTACGCTAACGGTTACACCATCGCCGCCGCCTTCTCTGGGCAAGTTCCATCAGTCATATCCTACCTTCTAATTCATGTGTACAAATGTTATATTCCTTTACTTTGGAAGAGGTATGAAAAACTTCAATATTATCACTATCTCATTGTTTCACTCTCTTCATTGTTTTAGTGATGAAACACAACAACAAAAATAAGATGTTACACTAAATCTTTGACTGGTGCTATTTCTTCATATGGGCAGTGAACACAATGGTTTCAAGAGACATTCATATACTCATAAATTGATCACTTTAGCTGTCATTTGAATCGAGCTGTAATTTGTTTCTCCATTAAAAAACTAAAATTCACACAATAGCTTAAGTTGCTGTCATATCCATCTGCCTTCCTTGGTATCTAGAAGGCTGTTGATGATGTTCTTGCCCCTTTGCAAATGAAGGTTGCTCGATCTTAAGCATGATGTCTAATTCCATTTTCAAGATCTTAAGGTTACAAAATTCACATTAAAATAAACCACATTGTTTTTTCCATCTTTTCAAGATTATTGAAGCAATCTTAGGCATACATCACATCCCTTCATGATTTTGAATGATGAGTTCTGCATTTCTAACCATGTATTCTAACGCATGAAAAATTTTGCAATTTGTATCACATTTCATACATTCCATTAACTAGTTTTTCTTGCAATAGTCTTCTGACACAAAAAACAAATTAATCATCATATATTAATTTAGGTTTATAGGAAGAAATTTCGTTTTGGAAGAAAAAGATTGGAAAGAAAATATAAGGGAGGTATATAAATTAATGAGGCATTTGAATCTTACAATGTGCACATTTCCTAGGAAAATGTTGTATGCACAAAAACTGTTATATCATTGACAAAGATATCCATGCACTTCCATAGCCCCCACAAACACCTACAAAATATTTCCCGTAGAAATGTATCACAAACAGAACAGAATACAAATACATTGTTGGCACCTCTAATCTGGCGAATCCAAAACATTTCAAAGCACTTCAGTGTGCAAAGATTTTCGAGAAATGCCAGCTGGGTGTCTCACGCACTACCCAATCAACTATTTTTTCCCCACACACAATGTACGTATCATTTCAGTTCATGGCTACCTTTGAAATGCAGTAAATCCTCTTTGACGAAATTCAAGTGGTTCTTGCTTGATGGATGGTCTTATATAAATACCATCACCATGATGATGCAGTCTGTGGAGAACAGGGCGTTGATACGACAGAAGGTTCATCCGGTCGGAAGGCCTCAAACCAGGAGTCACACTGCCAAAGCACAAGTGAGTGGAGGCATGGGGAAAAAAGCTGAGAAGCAGATGACAATAAACTCACCCAGAATGGAAAAATCTACATTTACATCAATAAAAAGCAAAAACCACTAGACTCAGAAAGACACATGGAATAGGAAGTGGTTGGTGCAGGACATAATCCAAAGAAATACAATTCTAAAATAGTATCCAACAAACACTTATTGTCTGATTGAATGAAGTAAGTGCTTGATATTTGTCTATAAGGCCTCACCATGGAAACTATCAACCAGTGATCTCAAACACTCATGAAATCAAAAGTTTTGAGCATTGTGAATAGTTGTTTGAACACATGTCAATTCCACACTTAATTCAATCAGATAATAAAAACGAAATGTATTATTCTGATTATCACCCATAGTACATCCTATAATTATAAAATGTTAAACAAATATACTTAGGGAAAAATTAAAAATAAATCGAAAAATAACAAAACCAAGATTAATCAAACAGACTTTCACTACTTACACTTCCTACCTTTTATTTGTAACAGCACATTCACATATAAAAAGCCTCTTGCCTGAAATACTTTAAGGTATTTATCAATAATTTTCCATTTTAAAAAGTTAATTTTACTGCCTGACACGTTACTTTAATGGATAAACAAAAATTGCTCCATTAAATTCATTACAATATTCATATTAAATTAAAATCATCCAAATACCTCAACCTGTTGGCAAGCTCACAACAACAAAATTTATTAAGAGTTTCTAATATTAATTCAATTTCCTCTCTTTCCCCTTGGGCACCTGACTTACTTCACTCACCAATAAATACAAAGTAGAATGATAGAAGAAAAAGAATGAAAGAGACAATTCACATTGGTATATAATACTGGAAATTTACCAACATTACGCCTATTTCTTCTACATCCCAAAAGAAGAGAGAGATGCAAATAAAAGCACAATAGAAAGTTGCCTTTTACCACATTTCTAAGATTCTAAAATAATTTCACCCAATCCACTCTGTAGAAATATAGTTCAACTACTCATTTTCAAAATATTGAACATGACCACATTTGAAGATGCTTTAAATGAACATTTCATTAAGGAAAATAATTCTACCTTGATTATGGTAGTTGTTGGATGCGTTTCAACTTTCACAATTTTCAAAAAAGTTTTAACTTTCACAATTTTCAATAATTCAGAGTAACAAAAATGTAACTTAATGTCTTTTGTTCTAGGAAGAAAAAAAAACAACTGAAAATGTTGAAGCTTCATGTACATCCAAAGTAACTACATCCAAAAATCAAAATGTCTGTTTCAAATTGAGGGTGAAGCAACATCAGTCAAATCGATTGGGGACCAGCCATGTGCTTTGAAGAAAATCCTACTTACAGTTTAGCAGCCCAGTTTAGTTGTTTATTTACAGACTAACTGACATTTTATTGAATCTTACATGTATGTTAATTAATTTTTCAAATAGTCAGTCTTTTTATTCATTATTAAAATTTATTAAAACATTAAACGTCCACATCACATTTTAAAATATATCAATTTTATTGTCATATTCTTTTCAAAGCACATTTATATATAATTTTTCACAACATTTTGAGTCGTGGACTTTGACTTATCTTCGGGCATCTACAGTCATTATGATATTTTTTAAGATTAGTACATTTAAATTTTTAATATAATTTTAATACCAAATTTCATTATCTAAGCACAATATAAATCTTAATTACAATGTCATATTGATCTTACACAGCAATATATATTTTATTTTATTTTATTGAGCCTACATATAAGCAATTAGAAGCTTATCTTTCTCTTTATGATGTATTCTTTCCTTATTACATCCTTTATGGAACTTAATCAACTTATTTGCCAATCATACACTCATGAAATCTCATGGTGGTCACTGTTCACGGTCCACCTTCTCCTGCCTCCAAATCAAGAATGCATGACCATCTGAGTGTCTCTGGTTCAGCTCAGAGGGACACGGTTATCGCCAATCAATTGGGTTGGAGGGGGAACGTGGGGAGGAGAGTTGTTTCTGTTTGTTCCTAATGGATATTTTAATGCTAGCATAGCATTGGCATATATATTATTCCTCATGAGACCTCATGAGACTTCATCAGGTTCATGATTGGCAAAAAAAATTATTAAATTCTATAAAGGATGTAATAAGGAAAAAATATATCATATAGAGGAAGGTAAACTTCTAATTGCTTATATGCATGCACAATAATTTAAAATAAAATATGTATTGTAATATGTATGGTTGTGTTTGATTTATATTATTTATATAACATTGAAATTAAGATTTATATGGAGCTTAGATATTGAAATTTGATATTAAAATTATATTAAAAATTTAAATGTACTTTATGTTAAAAAATATCATAATGATTGCAGATGCCTGAAGAGGAGTCAAAGACAAAGACTTGAAATGTGAAAAAATATACATAATGTGCTTTAAAAAGAATATGACTAGAAAAATTATATATTTTAAATACTTTAAAATGTGATGAGAACATTTAATGGTTTAATAAATTTATTTGTATAAAAAGAATGACAGTTTAAAAAATAAATGGATATACATATAAGATTCAATCAAGTAATAAAAAATTCGAAAGAACTGACATTTAACTGCAATCCAATTTCTCAGTATCAAGGACCTACCAAACAGATTCTGACTACACAATGCATTAGAAGAAGAAATTTACTGCATGTTGGAACAAGATTTATCCACTCTTCGTTAATAGGGCCTGGCGTTGAGTTTTTAACAAAAAATATCACCATTTATTTCCAGCAGCATTACGATTCTTTACAACGATGGAAAATGAAAATAATATTTTTCTCTTGCGAAAACAATCCTTCTGAAACACAATAACTCCATATTGGCACAATTTTCATTATTAACATCATGTGATTAGCATTCTTGATTTAACCCGGTGCTTGTTTGATGAAAATGACTTTCACAAAGATCTGAATTTTTTCGGGCACACTCTAGTAAATAAAATCACAACTTATACGGCTGAATCATGTTTCCTCCACAAAATTACCTTTTACATCACTGAATTTATTTAATTTGAAGATAAACATTTTCTAGAGGAAGGATGTTAGAGGCAGCAAAATGGTATTTCTTGGGTATCTTCTTTACAGAATAATTCCCACTGGTCAACTCCTCTCAGAAAAGAAATTAAAATAATCCAAGAAGTTTTGTGAGCTATGTCACAGCAATGTTAAACAACTTACAAGATGGTATTTCCTGAACAGCAGATAGAATTGTCATGACTCCCAAGCATACAACTAAGTGAAATTACGGGTTTTATCTATGAACATTTGTTGTTTGTGTCTTGTGTTATTTGTTCTACAATCAATAACAATGTGTACATATTTCCTTCACAAAGTTTCCATTCACAATTCATTAAACACTCATTGGATCTGATCTCCAAACTTCAATTAAAAGTTTAAGATTTGCTCTTAAGACAATTCCAGACATTGTTTATTTTTATACAGTTGTAAATTAAGTTGTACAATAAGGAAATAGGATTTAATTACTTAGCAGACAGAAAGTAAATACTGATTAAGTGACACGAAGTAATAATACAACGGCCTCATCATTTTGCATCTATATTGACATCGCAATTAGTATGTCCTTGGCAAAAAAAATAAAGTTAAAGTTTGCTTATTACTGAAAGTTTTATTTCATATTCATTATAGAATTTAATTTTTAAAACATTCTTTTGTATAACAATAAGGGGCATATCTTTATATTACATTTTACCATGCCTAGTTTTTCGTTAGGAACCAATGAGAATTGTTTAACAAGGTGAGTCCAAGTTTGGAACGGAATATTACGCAATGGTAAGTTGCAATGTAATATTGATAAGTCAAAGTATTAGGGTGCAATAAAAAGTTGATTTTTTGGTCAAAATATGTGGTTACTGACTTTACCAACAGTACTTCTGTCAAATTCACCATCCAAAATAGCAGTGATTCGAGTCTGTGTACAGAATTAAGCGATTTAATCACAGACCCGCCATCTGATTAAAGTTAAGGGTCAACTCATAACTTCATTAACAAGTGATATCATTGAAAATGTGAACAATTTTGAATAATATTTTCATGTAAACAGCTCGCAATTTCACGCAAGCATTCAATAAAAACCCACATCGTACTCTACCATTACACAAAATTCTTTCACAAGCTCAGATTCCAAATCTATAATCTCCTCCTCCAATCTCAAAACAACTAACAAATGTTTCTTCTGAAATTAACTATGAGAACACTATGAAAGTTTCATAACAAGAATTTGTAAGTAGTGATGTGTTCAACCAAGTTCACGCATCCAACTTTGTTGAGACACTTAATCTCTGAAGCTTAATTACTTCTTACTGTACTTAATCCAAGATCACAATCAAAAGATATTATACACTACAATTTTAATTGTGTGTTTGGTAGAAATTACTTCAATTTTAGAAAATGCCTGTTCTTACAGAACAACTACATGTATATTCATGTAGAGTACAATCATGTGTATGTACTGTATAATTCTGTGCTACCACGAATTGCAGAGATGGAATTTAAGACCAGAAGATTTTTGAAAGACAGATTACCCAGGTTTTGCAGTCTCAGAATAAAACATTGCTGATGGGGACAAGAAGAGAATCGTCATAACACAAAGAGAATTGTTTTGATAATAACATTCACCTCTTGGCCAAGGAAGACCGCTTGGGACCGAGGAGTGTAACTTGAGGCTGAGGAAACACTCCAAAACCCTAAGCCAATAACTTGGTCGGCATTAATCTGGCTTTGATCTATTTTATCGCGACACCTGATGGCATCAGGGCATTCCTTGATGTCTGACCACGCACAAAGTTCTTTTGCCATCCTGCCAGAGGAGCCATTGCATATTGGTCAACATAACCAGCTGACAAATAGAGGGGTACCTTGGGGTACCTTGTTCAGTATAAATCTGTGTGCTGTCCACTTCCATTCATTTCATCCTGAGGAAGGTTGTAGCATGACAGCTGGAACATTAGCATCTGTGCATAGGAAGCGGCTACTACCCGACAGCCAAAAAGATCCTGTTTCCAGTGGGGGAAGCCTAAGCTTTCAAGATTATCATCCCTCACCACTGAATGAGGACAATTTAAATTAGCTAGATCTATTGGGGGAAATAGATTAGATTTAGGTAAAAATTCTAACAAAGGTTTATTCGCTAGCATTATTCAAAGATAGATGTTTTGTTGAAACAAGTTTTTTTGCTCTCAAGGACTCGCTAAATGAGGATTTTAAATACACACCACGTGTACCACATAGAGAAACAAGAATTTTCACTTCTTTTGTATCCAGGACACACAAAATGAGTTCAAATGTCAAAAGATTGTCATGTTTTGCTGCACAATTATATATATCTATAAAAAAATACATATATGAATGTTGTGACAACTACCTACATATATACATACACATTATATATATATATATATATA